TCGCCTTTGATAATGTCCACCGCAGTTGTGGACGAAACGTCAGGAAGAAATTCCGATAGACCACGGCTTCAAAGCCCGGAAAACATTCCTAAATGTAAATTGAAGGAAGCTTAGGAATGTATTTTTTAATCTTCAGATGATGAAGTGGTCCAAAGAGAAGAGGAAGCCATCAAGCTGGACGGGCTCAATGTGGCGCAACTCAAGGAAATTCGCGACCGAGCCGAAAAGTTCACTTTCCAGACGGAAGTCAATAGAATGATGAAGCTGATCATCAATTCACTGTACAGAAACAAGGAGGTGAGTCACGTGAAAGAGTTGCATTGCAGTCTAAAATGCATTGATCCTCTAATATTTCTTCCAGATCTTCCTACGAGAGCTGATCTCAAATGCCTCGGATGCCATAGACAAGATCCGGCTGCTTTCCCTCACCGACAAATCGGTGCTGGACGCTGTTCCCGAGCTAAGCATTCGCATAAAGGCCGATAAAGAGACGGGAATGCTGCATATCACCGATACGGGCATTGGAATGACCAAAGCGGACTTGGTGAATAACTTGGGGACGATCGCCAAATCTGGAACGGCAGAGTTTTTGGGCAAAATGCAAAGTGCAGAATCGAGCCAAGATCTGAACGACATGATCGGCCAGTTTGGAGTCGGGTTTTACTCGGCATTTTTGGTCGCTGATAAGGTCCTGGTTACTTCGAAGCACAACGACGACAAACAGTACATTTGGGAGTCAGATTCCTCCAGCTACAGCATTGCAGACGATCCCAGAGGAAGCTCGTTGAAGAGAGGTAAATTTTCCCAAACCCCCCACTTTCATTCAGCTACTCAACTTAAACTCTGATCGATTAGGCACGACCGTCAGCCTCCAGCTGAAGCCCGAAGCTAAAGACTTCCTGGAGCACGAAACCATCAAGGCCCTAGTGACGAAGTACTCGCAGTTCATCAACTTCCCCATCTACTTGTGGACCAGTCACACTGAAACTGTAGAAGAGCCGCTGGATGAAGACGATGTAGAGGCGACAACTGCCAAGCCAATCGAAGATGAGGAAGATGCAGCCATCGAGGAGGAGAAGGAGGACAAGCCCAAGACCAAGAAAGTCTCCAAAACCGTCTGGGACTGGGAGCTGCTCAATGACAGCAAACCCATTTGGACGCGGAAGCCTGCTGAAGTTGCCGATAAAGAGTACAGCGAGTTCTACAAGGCGCTCACTAAGGACGACAAGGACCCGCTGACGAAGATCCACTTTGTCGCTGAGGGCGAGGTTACGTTCAAGGCTTTGCTGTTTGTTCCCAAAGTGCAACCTTCGGAAAGCTTCAACCGATATGGCACCAAGACCGACAACATCAAGCTCTTTGTCAGGCGAGTGTTCATTACAGACGAGTTCAACGATATGATGCCGTCCTTCTTGAGCTTCGTCAGAGGTGTTGTGGATTCCGATGACCTGCCTTTGAACGTTTCTCGTGAAACTTTGCAGCAACACAAGCTGATCAAGGTGATAAAGAAGAAGCTGGTGAGGAAGGTTCTGGACATGCTGAAGAAGCTGCCCGTCGAGCAATACGAGCAGTTCTGGAAGGAGTTTTCCACCAACATCAAGTTGGGCGTTATCGAAGATCCGGCTAATAGAACAAGGCTGGCCAAGTTGCTGATGTTCCTGTCGTCGAATGGCGAAAAAATGACCTCGCTGGCAGACTACGTGAGCCGCATGAAGCCGAAGCAGGAAAAGATCTTCTACATTGCCGGCTCCACCAAAGAAGAAGTGAGCAAGTCGCCGTTCGTAGAGCGTCTGCTGCGCAAAGGATACGAGGTGTTGTTCCTCACTGAAGCAGTGGATGAGTATGCGATCTCTGCCATCCCAGAGTTCGAAGGCAAGAAGTTCCAGAACGTGGCCAAGGAGGGTTTCAGTTTAACGGAAAGCGAAGGAGGAAAAGAGCGACTGGAGCAGCTGCAGAAGTCCTTCGAGCCTCTAACCAAGTGGCTGGCCGACGATGTTTTGAAGGAGCACATTGCCAAGGCCACAATATCGGAACGACTGAGCGATTCGCCTTGTGCCCTAGTGGCTAGCATGTTCGGCTGGACCGGCAACATGGAGCGATTGGCCGTATCCAATGCCCATCAGAAGGCAGATGATCCTCAAAGATCCTACTATTTGAACCAGAAGAAAACTCTGGAAGTCAACCCCAGGCACCCCCTGATGAAGGAGCTCTTGAAAAGGGTCAGTGATGATCCAAGTGATCCCAACGCCAAAGACATGGCTCTGATGTTGTTCAGAACGGCCACTCTTCGATCGGGCTACATGCTAAAGGAAACTGCCGATTTCGCTCACTCGGTGGAAGCAATGATGCGGAAGACCTTGGGCGTGCCTCTCGACGAACAGGTTGAGGAGGAGGAGGAAGAGATCCAGGATGATTCCGCTCCGGAGGAGGATGCGGAGGCAGCCGACAAGGATGAGGCGGAACATGATGAGTTGTAGGATAATGTGTTTTGAATGTTGTGCGATTTGTGTGAAGTGGTGATAACTTATTTCGTTGTTTAGAGCAACTGCAAAGACTGTCTACTTTTTTAATGTTCACTTTAAAATAAAGTGGTTTATTTACGGTTTAGTTTCATTTTTGTTGGGTGCAACTGGAGATGCTTTCGTCGGTTGTGTGCGCACGAAAAAATGTTGATTTCTTCTTCTCTTGGAAGATAATCTAAGGTCATTTGCTTTCTCTCGAAATTTTTTGTGATTTTTTTATGGTTTTTAACAGCGTTATGTCTTGTGTGGAGGCTGAAAACGTTAAATTAATTGGGAAAAATGAGAACAAATATTGGCAGAATAGTGCGATAGATTTATGTAAATTTTCATCTTGTTAATTTTTTATGTTGAATCATTTTATAAACTGGTGGCCAAGATTGGATGACGTCACATGTTAGCGCTCAGTGCCTCTAACCTGAATAATCTGTGGCAATACTATGACTTGTCTTTATCTGTGGCCTGTGGATTGTTTATATGTTTATATGCGTTTCTAGAGCAACGTGACTTTTTGAGGTGTTTGATCAAGATTGAGTAATATCTGCTGAAAATGAAAGTTGAGGAGGTGAAGAGTACGGTTAAAACTCAAAGGATCAGCGCCCACAGCCACATCAAGGGTTTGGGCCTGGATGAAAATGGGTTTGCCATTCAACAGGCTGCCGGCTTGGTCGGCCAGGAACAAGCCCGAGAGGTTCGAGATTTCCTTAGTTTTCCTTAAAATCCCGTAAAAACCAACGTCTTTTCGAATGGGGCCCTGCCTTGATCTTTAAACGTTCATATCTCCGGTCTAAAACCACCTGAAACTCCCTAGCGTATCTGAATCATAACCTCAAATTCTACAAAACAGCCCCCATTTTGGGGGTGTTTGTACCGAAGGCCTGACGAAGATTCGTTAGATTTTGTTTCTGTCTAGACATCTTCGATTTGATTTAAATTTGCCGCTCGACGTCGTCCAAACACGAGACTTCAACTCCTTAATAAAGCTGTTTGTTCTCAGGCCGCCGGTGTTGTCGTCGACATGATCAGAAGCAAAAAAATGGCTGGCAGAGCAGTGCTGTTGGCAGGTCCTCCTGGTACTGGCAAAACAGCGATAGCATTGGCAATAGCCCAGGAGCTGGGAAACAAAGTAAGACTGAAGGTTTAGTCAATGTGGCCCCATTCTGTACATGTTTCGCTTTGAACAGGTGCCCTTTTGTCCAATGGTGGGATCTGAAGTCTACAGTTCAGAGATAAAGAAGACTGAGGTTTTAATGGAGAACTTCCGGCGAGCCATCGGGCTGAGAATCCGAGAGACCAAAGAAGTGTACGAGGGCGAAGTTAGCGAGCTGACTCCCGTTGAGACTGAAAATCCTGCCGGAGGTAAACGTCTTCACTGCCAGCTGAATTTTCAGCAATTCATTCATCCTGTTGCAGGCTACGGGAAAACAGTCAGCCATCTGATAATCGGGCTACGCACTGCCAAAGGCAGCAAACAGCTGAAGTTGGATCCAGCCATCTACGAAGCCATCCAAAAAGAGAAAGTGGAGGTGGGAGATGTGATCTACATAGAGGCGACTAGTGGGGCTGTCAAGCGACAGGGCCGTTCAGATGCATATGCAACGGAATTCGACTTGGAGGCTGAAGAATACGTGCCGTTACCCAAGGGGGACGTGCATAAGAAAAAGGAAGTGGTTCAGGTAATTTTTGGGACGATTGCTCGAAAAATGCCGACTAAAACCTAGTTAATTGTAGGATGTTACTCTGCATGATCTGGATGCAGCCAATGCCAAACCGCAGGGCGGGCAGGACGTTCTCTCAATGATGGGCCAGTTGTTGAAGCCAAAAAAGACGGAAATTACCGACAAATTAAGAAAGGAAATCAACAAAATAGTGGACAAGTACATAGACCAGGGAATAGCCGAGTTAGTGCCTGGTGTTCTGTTCATTGACGAAGTTCACATGCTGGACATTGAAACGTTCACATATCTGCACAGAGCGCTGGAAAGCGCCATCGCTCCTATAGTGATTTTTGCCACGAATAGAGGCCGATGTCTTATCAGAGGTAGAAACGCACTCGGGAGTTTTAGAGCGGATTCCATGGTTGTTTTGTTGTAGGCACTGACGACATTTTCTCCCCTCATGGAATTCCCTTGGATCTACTCGACCGATTGCTGATTATTAGAACGGTGCCGTACGACCGGCCTGATATGGAGCAAATTTTGAAATTGCGCGCAAAAACTGAGGGCCTGGAAATTGACGATGACGCTTTGATTTCGCTTGGGGCCGTCGGCGTTAAGGCCACTTTAAGGTAGACATCCGACCACACCTTTTGCTAGTTGCCAATCGATGAGTGAACACTTTTTTTAGATATGCAGTTCAACTGTTAACTCCTGCCCATTTAACAGCTAAAATCAATGGCAGATCCAACATCACGCTGGTGGACGTTGAAGAAGTATCTTCCTTATTTTTAGACGCCAAGCAGTCTTCGAAAATCCTTTCGGATAATAAGGAAAAGTTTATGCAATAAGTGTTTTCAATGTTTAGGAGTTTTTCACCATGTGCTGTAATTGTAAGAACTGTTCGGGTTGGTGATTATAATTACGTGAAGCCAATTGGCTTTGGAGCTGAGAAATTTAGGATTTTAAACGATAAACATTAGCACTTAATTCCAAATCAAAATTAATTCCTGGGCTTCAGTCATTTATTGCCTCTATTTATCAATGAAAATACGTTTCGGTGTATTTTTCCACCATCATCAGTTTTTATGTGTAGCGTTGTTGCTGCTTTAAGCCTTGGCATGCAT